AGCTCCTACCCTGAGGGAGGGAGTATGCCACTGACTTGGACCTCAAACATTAACTGGACAGTCCCCTCTTACCCTGAGGGAGGGAGTATGCCACTGACTTACTTGGACCTCAAACATTAACTGGACAGTCCCCTCCTACCCTGAGGGAGGGAGTATGCCACTGACTTACTTGGACCTCAAAAATAAATCAGTCATACATGTATAATACATTGATCTGAGTATCGTCTTTTTTCTGTCTAGAGGGTCATTCCTTTATTTATGATACATTTGGAGTTCGACCTCAGTTCTCATGGCATGTTGATCCATTCGGTGCTACTGCAACCACACCAGCATTATTCGCTATGGCTGCCTTTAATTCGCATCTCATTTCAAGAATTGATTATGACAAGAAAGATGCCATGCAGAAAAAAAAGGTGGGTCACTTTGATCTTAGTCTTGGTTGTATATAGCACAATTGTGATTTTAGTATTTTTATGATGAAGTTTTTTATAATATTTTTGATTATTTTGGACCAAATAAATGTGATTCTCCATTGGCTGCCGGTAGGGATTAGAAAACTTTCTATGACTTGCAAATTAACTGTTCCGCTGTCATATTTTACAAAGTCCTGCTCATGTATAATTTCTGTATTATTTGCAAACTATTGTCACCTGTTAAAAATGAAATTAACACCAAGAATAAAAATTAAAAAAATTAATTATACTTGACATTGCTGTATCTTTATTCAGGAAATGCAGTTTATTTGGCAAGGCTCCCCCTCCCATGGAAGTAAATTACAAATGTTTACCCATACTATGGACCAATACAGTTATTGTGCACCTGGGGATATTCCATTCTCTGAGAGGTAAGACAGCTAGGATATTGTGAGTGTTTCTGTGCATTATAACTGTATTATATCTATGTACAACCATGCACCAGATCGTAAGTGACAGAATCATCACAAGTATGAACCACCAGCAAATGTACTGGTATTTCTGTACAACTAAAAATGCAACATCAGTTTGATACTTTATGTTGATCATTATATTTTTTTTTGATTTATCATATCCTGACTTTCAATCTAGAATGAATGTACAAGAATTATGCATATTGGTTTAGAGGTGCACATCTTTTTTTTTTTTTAATTCAAACATAAATGGCTGATTGATGGTCTTTTTTCTTATATTCTTCAATATTTCTTGAAATGAACCTTAATTTTGGAGCCAACAAAAAAATTTGACTCAATTTTCAGTTTGTACTCAAACAATGTGGCTATTTTTGTCCCAATCTTCAGAAAGAAAGTGCAGACTATAAACAAGACTATTTTGTGAATTTGTGATGAAAGGAGGAACTGGTGGTGAAAAGATTACAGCCGTTCTGAGAATTATTCGGACAGTCAGTTAGCAAAATGACTTGCAACTTTGCAAAACACTTTGGTCTTTGCCCAATCTAGACTTGTCGGCGCCGCTTGAGTGACGGGCGCGTGGTTTGGGATTACTATTTCATAGGGGGTTGTCGGCTTGGTGAATTGCAAGTATTATTTAGCGTGCGTTCACAGCAACCATTCTTTATTTTTTTATAATTATATTGTAATTATTTTCAGTAATTTTGAAAATCACAAGTTTGGTGTTGCTTAAATCTGTCGAAAAATGTCAACACCTCGCTCATTTTAGTCACTTGTACCTGTTACAAAAATGGACTAGACATAATAACGGTCGTTATACCCCCGTTATACCCCATCATTTTCAAACTGCAGTTGAAAAAGTGATTCGATCAAGGAAGGCACTTTTGATTGACAAAATCCATCAAACCGTTATAATCGAGTTTTCCGTCTGTGTATCCCTGACATACTCTCCACCCTCGGTATAAAATCTGAATTTGATACATAATGCACCAGTAATGTAAAAACAACTTTTAGTTTGGCCCAAAACTGTCGCGAAACTGCAGCGCGTCCCGCTAAGAAACTTTACTTTGAGCCTTCCCGCCAATGACGAGTTCATTAATACCTGGAATTACTCAACACTCGGGAGTAAATTACGCTATGTCAGGTGGACTCAGATGGTTATAACAATTTAAAATAACACTTTGAATGCATATACAACATATAACCTGTTAATATATGAAAACCAACGCGTGTCGTTTTAAAAACAGCGTTTTACCCGCATCTTGCAAGATAATGGAATGATTCCAATTGTGGGCATGCCAATACAACGGCGCCATCAAGTCTAGATTGGAAAAGACCCAAGTGTTTTGCAAAGTTCCAACATATATTGCTAACTCACTGTCCGAATAATTACCAGAACGGCTGTAAGATTTTATTAAATGGTGTTTTTCATCTTCAAATTTTTTATTTTATTTGAATCTATTTTTATTCATTGATATTTTTTAAATAATTGATAATCACTAAAACCCACAATAGTGAGTAGGTAATAAAAATTGAAAAAAAGATGAAATAATGATAATATATAGGTTGTTATAGTAACATGCTTAGTAACTTATAGAGAATGTTGGAATCACAGAACTATTTTTAACACATTTTACCCATGTTACTACCTGAAGTTAAGATAAGACACTCAATATAAGGACTTGCAATTGTAGAAAAAATATGATTTTTGACTCCCGTGTGCGAAGCACACAATGGGAGTCTTTGCAGTTAGTTTGTTTGTGTGTGTGGGTGTGTGCGCGTGTGTGTGTGATATCTCAAGAACCATACATTGATTTTTGATGAAACTTAGTGCATAGATGCTCCGGGCCAATGCGCAGATTTGATGAGGTTTTGGTAAAAATCCATGCATATTAATTACCTAATTTGCATGATAATTAGCTGATTTTTAGCTGTTCCATGACTGTTTCACTGATATCTGAAGAACAACTCATTGGGTTTTGATGAAACTTAGCATATAGATGCTCCAAACTAATGCGCAGATTTGATTAGTTTTGGGTAAAAATCTGTCCAATATTAATTACCTAATTTGCATAATGATTAATCAATTTTCTGCTTTTCCACTGATATCTCAAGTACTAAAGAAATGTCCTATTCGAAATGGCAAAAACCAAAATCCAAAACTTTAAAAATTTGCCACCAAAGACACAATTCATAGCCTTGCTAAACAACAGTGGCCTAACACTCCCCGTAGCAAGGTACCTAAAGAAGTGTTTTGAAATAAGACAGCAACCCCAGTGACAACCTTCTCTCATTATTTACTGTTTTGTAACCTTTTATTCCTTTTTAAACTTTTGTAACCATTGCCAATCCCTCCGGGGAATGTGTAAGTGTTAATACAATTATTATTATTATTATTATTATTATTATTATTATTATAATCATCACATTTCAATGAAACTTGGTACATTGATAACATAGGACACTTCACAGACCTGATGGTTTTCAGGGTAATATCAGTACATATTAATTATCTAATTTGCAGACTATGCAGACCCCCATTTAGTTTTTGGTAAATATTTATGCTTATTAATCACCTAATTAACATAATGAACACTGATCATCACATTTGAATAAAAATTGGTACATAAATGCTCTAGGACAATAGACAGGCCTGATTAATTTTTGGTTAAAATTTGTTCATATTAATTCTCTAATTAGCATAATAATTCATAATTTCTTTTGTTCTGTTCTGTTTTGTTCATATTAGTTACCTGATTTACATAATTAGTTTTCAGCTTTTCCATCAATATCTCATGTACAAGTAATTTTGAATTAATTTTTAATGTGTCTTCAATACTCTCAGCACACGGGAGCTCTTTCTGAGCTTCTTTGATTCCTATAAGGTCTGACATTTCAATAAAATTAATTATAAAATTAAATAAAAAAAAAAAAAATTGTTTTAAACTGTACATAACTGTTTATTTATTATAACTTGTATTTACTTGTATGCATGTCGGACAATGATATGGTCTTTTTGTTGACAAATGTTTTAATTATTAAATCAGTTTAAAATTCTAAAAATCTGTATCTGTCTTGGGGATAATATTTCTTTGCCATGTGTTTAATTCAGAGTGCATTTTGTATCTTCAACCTTTTTGCCAAGTCTTCTGTGGTTTACTAACATTATAAATGATCTATTTGTGTTGATAATAATAATAATAACTTTTATTACGCCGTATTGGGAAATTACATCTCAATTTTAGCTAATTGTAATAAAAGTATAAGAAAAAAAAGTAACTAAAACATATAAAAAAGACACAACTACTACTAGGTACAGTACTAATAGTGCTTAAGAGAAGAAAATTTACATTGTGCTTGGAAGTTAGCATGTAAAGTATATGATGATTTAAGATAGGTAATAACATGGTTAATGAGTTTTATTTCTGATGTATTCATGATATACTTAAATTTTTCAATATTACTGGCAGACTGGAAATCTGGAAATTGTTCAGTGAAGACCATATATAGTTTCTCACGATCTGTATTATAGAGTTTACAGGATGTAATGAAATGTATTTCATCTTCAAGTATGTTACACATCCTGCAAATTCTGTTGTCAACTGGCGTTGATAGAAATATTTATTTCATATTTTATATGACAATTATTTATTTATGTTATTAGATCAGGATTTTATTGGAATGGTTACGTAAAGTTCCCAGTACCACCATCAGATGGTATCTATCCAAATATGAGTCTACCAGTGAATACGAGTAATATAAAACTATATGCAGACTATATGGTAGCAAACATTAAACAAAGAGCAGCCTGGTATAAAACACAACAATTACTATGGCCATGGGTAAGCAAAAACAGAGAGGTTTGTGTTGTCAAACTGGTGTCTGTAAAGCCATTTATTTTCACTAGCATTTTATTTCACTATTTTGATGTTTTTAGTGATTTCACTATTTTGATATTTTTTAGTGATTTCACTATTTTGATGTTTTTAGTGATTTCACTATTTTGATGTTTTTAGTGATTTCACTATTTTGATGTTTTTAGTGATTTCACTATTTTGATGTTTTTAGTGATTTCACTATTTTGATGTTTTTAGTGATTTCACTATTTTGATGTTTTTAGTGATTACACTATTTTGATGTTTTTAGTGATTTCACTATTTTGATGTTTTTAGTGATTTCACTATTTTGATGTTTTTAGTGATTTCACTATTTTGATGTTTTTAGTGATTTCACTATTTTGATGTTTTTAGTGATTTCACTATTTTGATGTTTTTAGTGATTTCACTATTTTGATGTTTTTAGTGATTTCACTATTTTGATGTTTTTAGTGATTTCACTGGGTTTCACAAACTTGGCAGAGAAACAATGAGTTCTATTGCTCTACATGTTCATATGCAGATTTTATTGAAATTTAAAACAATTGAATAATTAATCTGTTTACAGTACTATGGTGAACCTGAGTCTGTTTGCATACTGTTTATTTGCTAGAGGATACAATTACAAATACTTGGCGTGGGTGCCATTATGATGAGTTTGTGTTTTCAGTCAAATAGCTATATTTTTTGTTGTTTTTTTATTTTGAAATTGAGATATAAGTATACTCTTTTTACCTTTCTAAATCTAAAGCATCAATGGTATAACATAATTGAGAATAAAACCATTGTGAATGTCAGGCTGCATCATTATGTGTTTAATGATTGTAATTATTCTAGTGTTATATTGACTTGGCATCATTATGTATTTTGTTGTCACTAGAGGGCAGTGTTGTTGTATTACAGGGATGTGACAAGCAGTTCTTCAATGCTACAATTCAATTTCTAAACATGGATCCATTGTTAGATTATATAAATCAACATTCTGATGAATATGGTGTACGTGTACAATATGCTACTGTGGGAGAATATTTCAAAGCTGTTCATGACACCAATAGTACATGGATGGTTAAGAAAAGTGGAGACTTTATCCCGTATTCTTCTGGTAAGTATTTGAATACTTCAAACCTAGATTTATTCAGATTTTCAAAATTTCCAAAATATGCAACTAGCATAAATGAATTACTGAAAAATATAATTCAATCAATTAAAATTTTTAGGGTTTTCATGTAACATTTGTTAAATAAATAATTGAAAAGTAACTTGTACTAAATATTTTACCCAAACCTTGACACAAAGGGCACTTTCTTTTAAAGACCAGCGTTTACGTCCCGTGGTGTGGGCGGAGCTTAGTATTCCAACAACAGCAATGGTCAATCGTTTATTATATGCAACTAGTCAACGTCTGCACTTATCTTTTTGTTTGTTTATAAAGCTACTAATCTATGTGTAAGCTTGGATCTCCAGCAACTAAGCGAACTGTAATAATAAGATTACATCACAGTCCCTCTATCCCCGGTCTAGAAACGGTCATTGTATTAGGTGTGAATTGGTCTCCTTCCCTGGCAAAGGCGCATTGTGGGTTGGGCAAAACATTGTCACATGATCAGTACGTGATTTGACATCATCCGTGTTAATTATTTTTTTACAACTTAGTTGTTTATTACAGAATTCGTACTTTTTCACATAATTTTTTAATCAGGATATCTGTATAAGGTCATATTTT